TAATCTAAAACGAACTATTCTGTGCTCAATGTTGCGGAAATGAAGCGAAGACATTGGAGGAGAAGTCCGCTGAGCTAACCAAATACAAGTTCATTGGATGAAAAGCACCACACGTATTCTAAATCACTGAGATCTTTGCAGGCCTCAGGATAGGAAATTAACAAACCATATACCTAACGCCCTCGAGGCTGCTCACTTGGAAAGGACTCATTCGGCTCATTCGACGAGACCCGGCCATACATTGAAATTTGATGAGACCAAAATTCTCCCCGGAGATGTCAATCGTGTGAGCCGCAAGTTGCTTGATTCATAGTTCAGGGAGCCTCCAGTCTATAAACAATTACAATGACCTGTCCGACCCCTATTCGGTGCTGCGGCTCAGTTTGGCGAAAACAGTTCGCCAAGCTGGGAGCACACAAGCGAACGCGTCTTCTAATGCCAGCGACAGGGAGCCAGGTGGCTGGGCAATCATCACACCCAAGTCCAGCACGGGTGATGAAAGTTCACCAGGTCACGACTCGCATGCCGCCCATCAAGCAATTAGCGCGCATGGGGGTAACTATCCTCAATAAGGGGAGCCGTTAATCGTCATAGGTACGCAGTAACACAGCGAGTGCGTCCTATAAATAGGGCAGCCTCCCTGTATGAACTACCCGTTTCTGCAATTGTCTCTGATGATGGATCCACGACAGAATTCGAAACGTCAGGAGAATAAAGTTCTTCACCCGGCGATCACATCTGCTTCTTCTTAATTACTTCGTGGACTTATATTTTCGCTTATATTGACAACGCATGCCTAAGTTGGAAAATATGCATGTGCATCGCGTGAGTTGGACGGCAAATAGCCAATGGTGAGGCCGAACATTGGGGTTGAGACCCCAGTACCAGTCTTGATCTTTAGCAGATTGGGTTAATTATTTGAAGGAAAGGGAATTCTTGAGTTCCTGCCTTGGGAGACACTACCTTACAAACATGCCCCCTTACACACTATGAAAAACTCGTTAAATCTGATAAGAGCGAATAGGGTGGAAGGTGTTTTATTACATTCGACGATGCGTCACATGCTGCTACTGAATTTGAAGCACCCAAAACTGCCGACGGAAGCAGAACGTAGGATGATGCCGCTTACGGCCTGTTCGCAAACCGACTTGGGGACATACCAGCTCAACGTATCGGTGTCTGGTAGACAATTCGTATACTAGATTGAGCACGCCCAAAGCAAAAAATCCCGTAATGTCGGGTGGTGGAGAAACGTTTTGCCAAAGCTCCTGCAATCAAACAATCTATAGATGACGAGGAACTAAGACGGCCGACTTAATCCCACGAGAAGTGTAGCTAATGTAGGCCCACTCATTAATCCCTAGTCCCTGCATGTTTTCCTACGAAAACGGTGGCTATAGGGTTTTATGGGTAGGAAATTAGGACACGCAGTGGAATATACTTTAATAAATGTTAAATGCATTACTGTATTTAGAAGTGTTGTTGATTTATATCTGTAGATTTTCCTAATTTGTATTATCGTTTAACTTATTGCGGGAAAAAGCGATTATCAACTTGCAGGTTTCTTGAATTTCACGAAAAAGTGAAATGGTGGTTAGGAGGTCGTCTACCTCAACTTACCTGAGGTCCAAATTACCGTTCTGGGGTAAGATTAGTATAGTCCGCGACGCGTAGCGCGGCGCACACCTTCAATTTACAAGCGGAACAACTTACTCCCAGCGGCCGCGGGAAGTAACCTCGACTACATTTTTTCCACTTTACACTTCTAAAAAGTTCCTTCTCTGCTCTACCTATTTCCCCACCCCCCAAAACTCTATAACCACCGTTTTTGCAGGACAAATTGCTGAGACTAGGGGTATACGACTGGGCCTACATAAGCTACTTCTTCTATGGCGAGACCCTGGAAGGGGCGC